TTCCCTGAGCTCAGTAATATGTGTGGCAGGGAGCTTGACATGCTTAATGCTCAGGGTCTGAGATTTAAGAACACAAGATTTACATCCATTCTCTCATATGATTATTACAGATCATAAGTAATGGAAGTTTGGGGAACAGTAACGTTGGGGAACCAATTCTGCAAGTTTTAGCACTGACTTGAGTCTTAACAGAGTTTTCTCATTCATTAGTTTTGAAAGAGGAAGATAAAAAGCCCACATCATTGCCTAAAGTATCACATTCCTCTTGTTCCACCATAAAGTTCTTTTCCATTTTTTTTGGCAGAGTGCATGCAAAAAGAAAAAATAATTACCTTTTATTTTCCTGTTGTGCAGTAAAGGAGTGGTATGTGCCGTTGCCTTTGACCAACAAGGAGGATTTGTATATTGTAACAAAAATGACTCTGCCTCCACGATAACAGAAGGAGAAGCCCAACAGGCCAGGGAGCAGCTCCCCTCCCTGCCTTACCCCGTGTAAAGTGTCATTAGCACCACTGGAGCAGTTGGTTAGGAGCATTCCCCCAGCTGAGGGTCTGCCCACCCGTGTACTCGCTCCATAGCGGGAGCAGAGCGGAGCTGCCGACTCCTGCGCCTCGCAAGGACCCCTCCGTTTCCATTGGTAACACTTCGTGCTACTGATTATCACAGTGCTTCAGAAGTGCTAATTATCTTTTCTTGGTAATGACTAATAAATCCAAATGGAGAACAGTCCTGGAGGGTATTTACTTTAAAATTCGCTGGCTGGGTACCAAAGCAGGCACAGCACTGGCTGCTGCAGTTTGAATTACAGTTATTTTGTCCAAAAAATGTTCAGTTTTCAGAGAGTCTTGGTAAAGAATGAGTTTGGCTAGTTTGTGTTTCTTTTTAATGACAGCAGAGTGGGAAACAATCCTTTTTAGTGAAAAGACATCACTGCCATGATCACTTTTCAGCCAAACCAACAGAGATTTGATAGTTGCAGTTCAGCCTACAAGAGGAAGGCTTCCCAAAGCAACTGTGCCGCAGCAATAATTCCCTCTGACTCAATTGTATTACAGGCATATTTGACAATTATGCAGTGGGCATGTGGAGCTGAGACGCCTCTCCCTCCTTATTTGGCTGAGGGGAGCTGCTCTGTGCCCAGCTGTGGCACCCATCTGGGTGCCCATCAGCGCTGCCCTGGCGCCTGCCACCTGCAGCGTGGCTGCTGCCACCAGCCCAGGGGGCCGTGGTCGCCAACGCCCCATCACTTGTGCTGGTTCAATCACCCTCAGAATAAGCCAGGCTCCAAGGGACAGTTTCCTTCCTGCTGAGTTGTTGTTCAGTGCTGCAGGATATCAGTGAGTGATCAGATAGAAGGTTGTTTTCCCAGAAATGGAAAACTGAATCGCCCATCATTCAGTGATGTTGGCAGGAGGGGAGGTAACCACTGACCCAGCAGTTGCCAGGATGGTTCCTCCAATTTTGCTTCTAATGAACTGGCTTGTGCCTTCAGCTCCAGCAAACCAAATACTAAAAGATTGAGCTCGTTTTCCCACAGAAGCACATGCCAGCCAGTGGCTGTGTCATTATCCCACTGATGGGGATGCAATGCTGCGCCGTTGTGTAGCAGCCTGTGACAGAAGTGAAGAACCTCCCTGAGCCAGTGCACAGAGAGGTGCTCAGCTTCTGCACATCCAAGCATGTCCCACATGCCACTCTGATACTGTTGTCACGGGTGTCAGAATCAGTTTTCCATGTAACTTAACTATTTTTGTCATTGTAAGATACTTCCACCGAATTTAATAAAATTGACCCTGTGGAAAACAAAAAATGCTCCTTATATTTCCTGCTAATTTTATTCATGCCACGGATGCTTCAAGCATTATGAAATGTCCAGTTGTTATATTAAGTGGAACCCAGTGTGCCTAGGAGTTACCAGTTGCAAAGGGTATTTTGGCCTACACCCTGTAGTTCATGGGAAAAAAGAGAGTGAGCATGCAAGCAGCGTGCCTTCAGAGAGGAACAGAGCCAGGAAAATGGAGCAATGTAGCTTCAGATGTTTGAATTTGTGGAGATTTAAGCAAGCATCATGCTTTTCCTGTGCTTCATCCAGTAAAAATAAACAAAGGTAGTGTGAGAAACTCTAACATCGAGTTAATATGCAAATACTATCCTGTCAAGTTTTGGGACTCACCTTACTTTGGCCACAATGCCATTAATCATCTTTTTGCTACAAACAGTTACTCCTGGTGGTTATTTGGAAATAAAATGCCTCCATTCAAGAGCTTGCAGAGCATTCTGTTCATTTACACATTAATCTTTTGGGCAGGTTTCAAGAGGGCCTGCTTAAAAAGTCCATCCCTCAGTTTCATACTCAACTGAGATTAAGGATGAGGTTTTTGAAGAACATTTCTTCATAACTGTGGCTGCTTTGGTTTATGAGTGTACTCAGCATAACTCAAGCAGAACGAGGTTCCTCTGTGGCAATAAGAGATTTAAGTCCTTCAGCTGCTCGTACAGTCTTAAAAAATGAAAATTGAAGTGAATAAAATAGTGGCTCTTTTTCCCCATCTTTCTCTTGATAGAGAGAGTAAAACACTGGCGGGAGGGAGGGAGGGAGGGAGGGAGGGAGGAGGCTTCCACATCCCTTCCAAGCAGGAGCCCAACTGCAGGCCTGCAACTGAATCCCAGCAAAAGCTGGAGAATTTCATTGTTAGTCCCCTCTGAGAAAGACAGACCACTCACCTTTGCTGGTACCTAGTGCTGGCACACTGCCTGGAACCCTCTCTGCATCACACAGACATTTCATATTCCCTTTCTGTTTAAATGGGAAGAAAATAGGCCCTTTTTGCCCCTCATTTTTGCTGGAAGGAGCTCCAGTTGGTTTGGGAGCTCCACCTCTAATACAGAATCTTCCCTTGCAGAGAACCAAGTCGCATTTCAGTGATAATTTTGACACTACACTCTTGAAAGGTCATTAAGAATAATTTCATAAATGTTAATAATTTATTATATATTTCATATAATTTTTAATAATTGATTCATACCTCCACTTCTTTCTGCATCAGAATGTTCAGATACATAAAATATATTCCTGCTTCATGTGAGGTCTATATATTCAGCAGTTCCTGATATTTAGCAGTCCCATAAACTTCCCAAGGGAAGAGATGAGAAGCATCACTGCTTCCCAGATGCTCTCTTCCATGGCAGTCTCTGGCTATCAGATTTTTGTGGAGTCACCAAAACACCAGCGTTTACTTTGTCTTTAACCACATCCCTCAGGAAATGTCACATCCCAGTCAGACGTGCCTGAACCAGTCTTTGCAACAAAGGAAAAATAACCTCCTGCTCTTTAAAGACTGGTGTTAGAGAAAATAGACTTGGGCAACACTGGCTCATTGCGTTGCCATTAGCAGCCACGAGAGCATTTAAGTGAGCTGTGGCTGTCAAGCCAGTTTCCTGTGCTGTGTTGTCTCCAAAACAAAGAGCAACATCTCACAGCCAAAACATCCCCGCAGATCCATCAGCTGAAGGGCAAGATTCAAAGGCTTTCTCAGTGCTCTAGCTTAAGCAAGTGTTAAACAATAGAGAAAAAAATCCTTGCAGGTCATTGCCCTGAGTGGCAGAGTTACAACTTTCAGGTCTGATCCCATTTAGAACTGATGTAGCTGCTGTGATCACCTGGCTAATGGAGGAGGAGAAGCAGGTAGGCAGAACATCTGAATTTTATAAAGCAAATAATCAAGCATTGCAACATGGCCTAAAAAAGCAAAAGAGTAAGAAAAACTGTAAAACAGGAAATTTTTTCCTTACTGAGGAGTTGTCACAGAGGCAAAGCCCAACTTCACCAGCTTTTTTCACAGAAACATGCAAAAACCTCAGTCCGACAGTAAGAGCAGATGCCAAGCAGCCTCTCACCAGCCTGCTGACTGCAAAGACTTCTGATCCTCAATTCTGCCTCTACCCTGCCCCAGAGACCCCAGTGCAGCCAGAGAGCACAGCACCCAGACCCCTCCCTGGCATGCTTGGGGCAGATGCCAGTTCTGTGCCTCTCAAACAGCATGGTCCTCAAAGTAAATGGTGCATTACATTAGGCATGACAAGTTAAACATCTTTTTTTATAATGCAGTTGTTCATGATATTGTAGCTATGTCTGGAAACCAGGATGTTTGTGAATGAATCAGCAATAATTATCCCTGTATTTTGTTGTCCAGTGAGGGGCTGACACACACAGGCCTGGTTTGAAGTGCTGGGTACTGTTTCAAAAGGATGAGAGTTAAGGATACAGCGATTTTCTAGTCAGTGGAGGTTCGAGGTGATTTTGTGCTCAGTGTAAATGGCATTGTCTGGCAGACACAATTAGCAAATGAAGCGCTGCCTCACCAGAGGCTTTGCAGCCTCTGAGTCTCTTCTTCCAGGCTGACAACAAACAGAAATTTGAGATGGTATCTCGGGTTTCCAAAACAGGAAGCTGCTAAATCCAGCAAGAGAGCAATTCATTTCCCACATATAATGATGCTGCCTTTAAATCTCCTTTGAGGATACTGAAGTGTTTTCCGAAGGGTAGCAAGGGAGGTATTTCATCCCCATTTTTCACCAGATGAAAGACCCAACTGTGCCAGGAGTGGAGCTGAGAGAGGTGTGTTTTTCTGTGCAGAACTGGTAGCTTCACTGTGACTCAGGCTCTGTTCCTTTCTGCAGTGTGCCTCCCACCCCTGACTACCATACCCGAGTCACAGCATGGCACAGCCCTCCTTCAAACCCCTTTTTCTTTCAAGGTCTCTTCTGTGGAGGAGGAGTTAATGGAAGTTTCCACTCACTTTTTATGTTAATGCACTATAAATGACTTCTATAAATCATCAGAGTGGCCCACGTCAGGCACAGGTTGGTGCAATTACAAAGTACAGAAATGTTCTTTGGACACCAGGTTCCTCTGGACATGTGGTCCAGGTCTGGCCTTGGAGTAATGCTGTGCCAAGGGGATAAGTTATCACAGCCAAAGCTTTTATCTTTTTTTTTTTTCTTATTTTCTCTGTTCTCCCATCATCCCCTCTTGGGTACTTGGGTCCTTTCTGTTCAGCTGGCTAACAGAGAAGTAATAAGCTGAAAAAAATTAAAATTATTTCAAGGTACATTCCAAAGAAAAACTTCCGAGATTTTCAGACTAAGTAAAGAGCTTTAAAAAGCTGCCAATTAAACAAAATATTGTTCTGACAGAACTCTTCAAGCAGTATCTTCAGTAATTCAGATTTATATGACCAGAAGTTTTGAAAGAATTGCCAGAAGGGAGAGCATTTTGAAATACAACTTCAAGATGTTTAATCCTGAAACAATCGACACAGAACATTTAAGTTTTTCTTTTTGTCTTCCAGCCAAGAAGTATTCATCAAAGTTATCTCAAGTTTTATACGTGGCCTCAGTTTTCTGGAACTTTACAGCAAATGCCATGCTTGCAAGAGTTTAAAAGTGTTTTACAGTTCCAGTTTTTGTTCTACATGTCTAATGCTGAAGTTCCTGGTGTGAAAACAATCTCAAGTGCTTTTGCACACTATTACCAAACACTACATCCACAGTCCAGCAAGCACAGGTGGTTTCCTGGAGAATAGCACCAACTGCTGAGTAAACATCAGCCTGTGCTGCTCTACACACCTGTGCACACAAGCTGGGATTGGCCCTGCTGAAATAAATAGACACCAGTCCCAAGCAATTTTGGAAATCACACCTCTGCAATGCCAGTGACGGTGATTAGAATCTGCAGCTGTTTTTTTTTTTTTTTCTGGGTAGAAATTAGTTCTGAAATAGTCTGGGTCCTGCTACCCAAAACAAGTGCACTTTTACATGCAGCAGAGCCCAGCCAAGTTGTGTGGGTGCAGCACTGGCAGCTCCCTGTGTGCAGCAGTGGGAGTGAGGCTGAGCACCTCACACAGGCTGAGCACAACCTGCACTTGGAATTTCATACAAAGACATTTCTGTGCACACCTGCTGCCATCTCACCTCTCTCTTGGTCACTACCCACTGCTCAACAGCAGCCTACTATAGAAATTTTCAGCTTTGTGTGATCCCCAGGAATTTTCCATGGGATGTCTTCATCTGTAAGATTCACTAACACGAATTTCTGCATAGGATATGACCTTTCCACAAAGGACATGTTCAGGGTCTCGTACTAGTTGGCCACAGACACCCCTGGGATCTGTAGCTCACAGCCTGAAGGCTGGGGACTTAGAAGTTTTCTCTGAGATTCTATTAGAGCTTCTTAATTAAAAGACCTCTTTGGGGACCTGAATTGAATTGGAAACCATGGTGATCACTTAGGTCAATCACGCACAGAGATGATTGCATTTGGGAGAGTGAGGTGGAAGATGGGAATGTGTACATGTTGAAGAGCTTTAAGGGGAAAAAAAAAGACACCCCCAAACATCTGTAAAAATGAGGAGCATTAATCATTTGCAATAGAACAGTTAGAGGATTTGTCATATAGGGCTCACCATTCACTACTGAATTAGAGACTAACAGCTGTGTGTCATGCTGCATTGAAAAGTGTCTTTGATTTTTATCTCTCTGAACATTTGATCAATGGATTTGACAGTCTGTCCATTTTCTCAAACCTGTGTATGCACATTTTCACTCATGTTAATAGCTGTACCAGGAAAACTAAAATGCTGAGAGCTGTGCTTCCATCATCCCACATGAGAGAAACATTACTAACCTACTACTAAACCAGAAATTTTCATCCTCATCCAGTAGGTCCTGTAACTTCAATATGCAAAACCTAATGTATCAAGAAATGCACAATATCCAGGAAGTGCTTTTGTTCAAGAGTTGAATTTCACTGTTACAGTTAGAAAACAGTCACTTGTAACCAGATCATGTTGATAAGATTATCAGTTATGTCAGTTAAAACATAACTAAAACAAAGTTATGTTTTGTTTCAACTTACAAATCAGTGTACTCTAGCTCCAGAACAATGAAGTTGCTTTCAAAATCAGAACAGTTTTGGTTTCACTAGAAAGAAATGTTTTAAAATTCACTGGCTTTTCTTACAGAAAAGGACAACATGCCTCTCATCTACTTTAGCATCACCTTCTTCCCTTCCTCCTATACTTTCTATAGTAGAAAAATCTAAATAGTTACAAGGGATGTTCCTCTTGTCAGTCTCCACCAGAAATATGTAACCTCGCTTCACCTGTCTCTGCAAATTAATGTGTTTAGATCAGGACCTTTTATAGACTCGACACTTCAGTTGTTCAGCCCTTGTGTGAAATGCTTTGTGTTCCTCTTGAGAAATCTTACAGCCCCAACACGCAGGGTTAACCTCTTGTAACCTCCAGCAATAAATAAGACTGTTCATGTAATTCCTAGGAGACTGGAGGCTCTCGATCCATAATCTATCTTGCATTAGCTGTTGCTTACAAGCTGCTTCCTTTTCTAAGGTGGACACGAAACACCAGAGCACAGAGGCTGCAGGAGTCTGGATCTTCCTCTCTCCATCACGTTGATTCCTCTCCCTGCCACCTTCCAGGTCTCCTACTTTGCAGGCAGTATCTGCAACATCCACATCTACACTCCTCCCCCTGCTAGCAACCATTCCATACGGAATGTGCAAAGGGTAAAGCCGTAGCTGCTGATGTGCAGAAGCAGGAAACATTTTTTTTTTAAAACTTTTTTCTTACTCCACAGTTAACTAATTGCAAGACTCAGATATGCTGCCAGCTGGAGCAGACTCCTCTCTGGGACCAAACTGCAGCCTGCCCTGATGCCTTTGTACTCACTTCCAGGGCTTCCAGCCTGTAAGGAGGCTGGAGTTTCAGTCAGGTTATTATTGCATACCAGCTCATTTCAGAATACCATGGCTTGTGTGATAGGTGTAATTATTCCAAGTAGCCTTGTGCTGGAGCTTTCCCCTCAAGGCCAGAGTTTTATTCTATTTGTATTAATATCACCTGGAAGCTCCCAGTGGAAGTGAGGAATCTTTGTTCTCTACTGACAGCCTGCAGGGTTATAATTATAGCTGTATAAGATATGAGGATGATGCAGCACACACACAATGACAGGTCTCCTCACGGCAAAGGTAGAAGCAACTTTGCACCACAGAAGCAGGATCAAACCCCAAACCACAACAAGATTTAAGGAATAATTGGATCTGTTCCAATACACACCAGCATCACCCCTGCTTTCATTTCCATAGCATGTCCCTGAAATACAGCTACAGACTTAAAATCCACTGAACCAAATTTTTCCATTGCCTTCATTCCGTAGTCCCATATGTCTGTGCAGTCAGAAACATGATGGCAAGTGAGTCACCCTGACAGGCATCTGCAACAGCTTCTCCTCACTTACCTGGGAACTCTACCATTGTAGAAGATGAGCCACAGAATGAGTCAGCAGTCAGGTTACTGAGGTCACTTGAAATTTTCAGTGACTAATCGTTCGCTTCTTTTATCACAAAAATACTGTGTAAAGTCTCAGCCAAGCTTTGACACTGAAAATATCTACAGGTGCAGGTCTCTGCACACACAGCTTCCTGCAGCCAAGCACTTCTGTGTGAGTTACTCTGTACCCAGCGTGCTATTCCTGAGACATCCTGTTTTTGCTACTTGTGAAGTTACTAGAGCTAGCAGCCTTCCTGACAGAAACATGTGCATTCGAGCATTGTTTTTCTAACTGAAGCAGACCTTTTGCCAAAAAGTTAGTCTGATATTTTCCTTCATCTCCATTTGCTGTTGGAGAAATATTTTCCACAGCAGAACGAGCCACTGAGCCTGGTGGACAAATCCTGATAAAGGCTATTCAGAGAAGCCTTCCGCTTGCAATTAACATTTGCCCATGGAAACCAAAGCCTTTTATTATTTTCCTTTTCCTCCTCTGAAGGAGTTTAGCCCTGTATTTCCTAGTTTTGCTTTCAAAAGTCATTAAACAGGGTGACACATCCATACTCTTCTGTACATGAACACAGGAGTGCAGAATGAGACCTCACTTTTTGTTTTCAATATAATTAGTATATTTATAGGAAACTTCTATGTGGTATGTTAATTTTCAAATCTGAAGCTTGTTTTCCGACAACACAGAGATATTATTTCAAAATAAAGCGAAGACATTAATAAACACAGTACCAGGAAATCCACAAAGGTTAAGTGATTTTCTACAGAGTAATTCATACTCTTAATGAGTTTGCTGCAGACAATGCTCTCTGCAAGCAGTTACTGCGTATATATCTTTAATTTGTGTGTTTATATAATTCATAGTAGTGCAAAATAAATTTCTATGTAAAGTGTCCTAATAGATCAAGTGAGGCTATAATATTCTTCCAGAGCTTGTTCATTACAATATGCCCTGGCACAGAGTCCAGAGGGAGAGGAAGCCATTAAACATTAAGCAAAACAATTGCTGTCATCCTCCAGAGGGACTGGCTTTGTAAATGCTTATGTTAATGCTGTACAAAAGAGTTGAGTATTCATGTAAAATTAGAATGGTAAAAGAAGGCAAGCGCCTTGTCCTCGGTTTGTGAGATTTGGTTGGATAGCTAATGATATTTGGATCTTTGTCCTAGAAGAACAGACCTCATCCTCTCCTAGCCACAGACTGGGCACTCCTAAGAGTTAATTGTTACCAGCAAACAGAAAAGACAAAACAAAGAAACCCTGCCGTTTCCAGTGTTTTCTATCCTCAAAGCTGAAACTCTCCCCTGTGTGTGTTTCCAATTTAACTAAAATAGATCGCTGTGTGTAAACAGCCACTCTATCTGCATCATTCATATTTGATGGACTAGTCAGTACAACAGATACTTTTATCCATCCTGTAAGTGATGAGAAACTAGACACTTCAGTGTCTTGTGCTCCTCTCAGTTAACATGAGTGGCAGCAGCTGTTATTCGAGGCTCCCTAACATGTAACGTTTGATGTAGAGACAGGAAAATTGGAGATATATTTAGTGGAGCTGGATATAACAAAAGTAACTTCCATGATCAAACCCTTCCAGGAGAATATGCAGGAAAGTTCTGGCCGTGTTTGTTAACAGCAACCCAGGCACTGGGCTTCAGAGGCTGTGTAATAATAATATTCTTAGCAGGTTAACAAGTTACTTGCAGGAAAGGTAGGGCATGATTTCAAGATGCTTTGAAATTGGCAGCAAAACATGGAGATGGTCCAGAATACCACTGCCAGAGACTGTAAAGCACGTACCAAGTAGATGAACTTGTGTTTTAAATTATGTTCTGCACATACAGCTTTACACACCTGTAAGAACCATGTACACAGACTTTTAAATCCATTGGAAACCCAGAGGAGATATTGCAATTTCCTTCTGCTTGAGAGAGATGAGGGTAGATGGTTGACAAGGGAACAAATGTAGCATCCCAGAAACAGCACAAAAAGGAGGGTGATCCTTCTTTGAGCAGAGAGGTGAAGGCCTGGCCTAGATCACACAAGGGTGTGTTGGTGGCAGCAGTGAAATACCAGAAGTTCCATTCAAAAATGAAACCAAGCTTCTTTCAGTGAGGGTGCTCAGGAACAGACAAAACCCCTCCAACAGCAACCTGTTCTGGTTGGAGAAGGGGATAGGACTAGGTGGTTTCCAGACACGCCTTCAAATCTCTACCATGCTGTGCTTCTGTGAAAGGGAAGCTCTCCAAGCGAGGCCATGGGCAGAAAATTATGGTGCTGGTGTTTGGCAACAGCTTTTGGAGGAGCCACGTGGCTATACCAGAAGACAAGACTTCCTTTTCCTTTGTTCCAGCTGGCACACCCTCTGCCCCTGCAATACACACCTCCTGTGCTAGCACAGGGGGAGAGACGAGATGAAAAGGCAATCCCATGGCCAGAGCTTCAGAGGTCTCAGACCTGGAAAGAGCAGATGAGATGAAGACCTTTCACCTGCTTTAGGACACATTCCAGGGAAGCTCACTAGACCTCTTGCCAGCTGCCATTTCAGTGACCCACCCTGCAGACTGAGGGGGTTAAAATCTCCTGAGATTAAATGCAGTTGCTTCATTTGTGGCCTCACTGGAGAGGGCAGCTGCAGCCCAGCTTTTGAATCTCTGCTCTGAAGCGAGAGCTGATGGAAAGGAAATGGTAATTTCTGTATCCTCCTCTGGGGAGGAGCTGGAGAAGGTTTGTGAGAAGGTCATTTTAATATTAAGCCAAAGGTCCAAGAAGGACCAGACAAACAGCTCTTTTTTTTTCCAAATAAAGAGTTAGTAACTACACAGATACAAAATTTTCTCCTCTCAGTTTAGCCAGGCTGGCCCTTCTTTATTCCTGAGGGAACACAGTCATTTCTTGGGCATGTTTTTATATTTGCAGTTGAGAGCCAGAACAGGAGATGGCATGTGCCCACTTGTGGGTTTGTGGCACAGGGCCTCTGCACAGTGCAGAGCTGCAGGACACGGGCTGGCCATGGGGATGGGGCCCATGCAAGCCCAGGCTTTGAGGAGTTCTGCAGCCAGCACTGCATCAAGCTTCTGACAGCCTCTGCTGGGTGCTGTGATGTGCCTACAGCCAAGGTGGGAAGATCACTTCTCTCTGTTACTAAGAATATAGTCAGGGAAACATTACCCTGCAAATTGCTTGAATATGCATCACACTGCCACATATACTTTATGACTCTATTTGCACCCTGTGTGTCAGTCCAGCTCATGCCCACTGCTGCTGCCAAGCTCCTGCAGCTACTGGCTTTTCCCTCACATGTGCTGGAGAAACAGGCAGAGCAGAACACAAGGAGGCTTTCCGTGAGGCTTCTGCTGAAAGGCAGGGATGGAGCTCACTTCCTAGCCCACAGCCCTGCTTGGATCCACCAACAGCAGGCCATAAAGCAGAGAAAACCATTCAGGGGGCATGAGGAAAAACAGTGACTCAAAGCTGTGGGCAGGTGGAGAATGCAGAAGCAGGTTCAATTTCAAATGCAATCAGCACAAGCGTGTGACACAATCCATGAGATGTGAGCAGCAGAGACCCACCTTGGGAGAGTTCCCCTTTGCTCATAAAGTGACTCACTGGCTGAGGGGAACAAAGCAACGTGGGTGACAGACACGCTACCGAGGTGACCTCTGGCTACATTCACAGCATGCACAGAAGCAGAGAGAGAGAGAGAGAGAGAGAGGGAGAGAGAGAGAGAGAGAAGAAGTGAAAGATTCTGGCTCCTCACCATCATTTGGTGGGTGAAAGGCTGGACATGACCTGGCAATGTGCATTGGTATTCCAGAAAGCCAGTTGTATCTTGGGCTGCATCAAAATCAGTGTGGGCAGCAGGACAAGAGAGGTGATTCTGCCCCTCTGCTCTGCTCTGGTGAGAGCCCAGCTGGAGTGTCTGGAACTCCCCAACACAAGAAAGATGTTGACCCATCAGAACAAGTCCAGAGAAGGGCCACAAACATGCTCAGAGTGCTGGAGCACCTCTCCTTTGAAAACAGGCTGAGAGAGTTGGGGTTGTCCAACCCAGAGATGAGAAGGCTCCAGGGAGACCTTACAGCACCTTCCGGGGTACAAGAGAGCTGGAGGCACTTTTTACAAGGACATGGAGTAATAGGACAAAGGAAATGGCTTTAAACCAAAAGAGAAGTCGGTTTAGATTAGATATAAGGAAGAATTATTTACAACGAGGGTGGTAAAACACTGAACAGGTTGCCCAGAGAGGTGGTGGATGCCCCATCCTGGAAACATTCAAGGTCAGGCTGAAGGGGCTTTGATCAACCTGATCCAGTTGAAGATGTCCCTGCTCCCTGCAGGAGGGGTTGGACTAGAAGACTTTTAAAGGTCCCTATCAACCCAGACTATTCTGTGATTCTATGATCTCCATGTGCGAAAGTCTGCCGTAAATAAAGGCATAGGGAGAAGGAGTTGTCCTTTCTCTGTACCTTGTCACCTCAGATGAGAAGTACAGCTGGTTACTCATCTGACCTGTTTATTTCTGCTGTGCACTGCAGCTGGCTGCAGGAGAGGGAACACAAAGCAGATCCCAGGCCCCCCATGTGGGGGCTCTGGACAAAGGCAAGATGCTGCTAAGCCTCTCTCCTATGAGTACCTAAAGCCCTAAAATTTGAATGTTTGGGAATTTGTATATATCCCTTATCTTAAACTATTGCTTAGCAACAGACTTTAGCCAAGGGCATGTTTGTGCAAGTGTGAGGCATATCCCTATCTGCTAGGTGCAAAGCAATAAACACACCTTTCCAAATTATCTCTGCCAGGATCGCATGTGCAGCAGATGATCAAACCCAGCAGAAGGGTATCTGCTGTATAGGCTCGTGGCACTTGAGCACTGCTGATAAAGTGATCTCAGCCTGGGTGAATCAAAGCCTTTTCACTGCAGGAAAGGTGTCTTTGCATACCAAGTAGGTTGCAGATGGAGGAGCACCCAGCAGGGCTCAGTGTGATGCAGTTCTGTGGCTGCTCCTCCCACGTGAAGAGGAGTGATGTGTTTATCTAGAGAGCCTTAGGTGTTCCCCTGACACACTGCTGCATGTGCACATACTGATGAAGAGCATTGTTTTGGAAAAAAAGCGCACACAATCTTAAATATGATTTTATATAC